ACTCTGATAGTATAACTTGTACCGTGTTTTTATAATTTAGGAACTTCTGTTGTCCTTGGTAGGAACACCCTCCTTCCCTACTCTGGATACACATCCTTTGGGAAGAGTTGACCTTACCTCCCAGTTCTAGGGGTAGACAAGTGACTCAGCCCTAGCCAATGAAAGCACTGCATCCCCCTGTTTTCAGCAATTGATTCTGAACTTAGCCTGTCCCAAATCAGGCCCATGAGAACCAGCCCATGATGTTGACCAGATGCCCTGGGGAAGAGAAACTCTCTTCTTTTCTGTGGGACTCCACCTGAAAGGATGTTGGCTAGAGATAATGGCAGATATCTTGCCTTTATATGGAACCCAAGAACAAAATTGACATTGACACAAGTGAGTAAAGCCAAGCCCTAGAAAGAGGTCAGATATTAATCACATTGTTTAAGCCCCTGAATCAAGCCACCCCTGAAGTCCAATCTACTCCTGGGGTTTTCCCTTACTGGAGCCACTCCATCCTTTTTTTGCTTAGCCCATTGTGGGCTGGATTTTCTGTCAGTTGCAACCAAAAGTCATCACCGATAGAGAAATATGACAAACTCATATGAACTTTCTGCAAGCAAACAGAAGGCACCTCTAGATGGCTTAAGTTTAAAAAAAAAGAAAGAAAATAAATTTGGGGGGAGGGATGTGAAATGGCTCACAGAGACAAAGGAAAAGCAGAAGTAGGTCTTGGAAGAGATGTGTACCAAAGTGATCCCTGGGGATTCAGATAGCAGGAATGAAGGTACGGTGTCATCAGGGCACTGCTCTGGAATAAACCAGACCTAATTATCTACCACCTTTGAGTCACCTTACTCAAGATTCAGGTTAGCTTGGGAGAGACAGAGAGAGACTATTTAGCCTTACCTGAGTCTCACGCCCAACACTTGCCCATGGGAAGGCAGGACGCCGGATTGATAGTCCCACCAAGACTGTATACAATGGGGGCTAATTCCCCAAAGCAAAATCGGTTCTAAGTGCTTTGCATATATGAACTCGTTTTAATTCTTAGAGTAGCACTTTGAAATAGGTACTCTTATTACTATCCCTATTTTACAGATGAGGAAATTGAGACATAGAGAGATAAAGTAAACTGCCTGTGGTCATACAGCTGGAAAGCGATAGAGCTGGGATGCAAACCCAGGCAGCCTGGCCCCAGGGTCTATACATTGAACCCACTACACTATAGGGCTTCTCCAGCAGAAAGTGAGTGAGGGCAGGGCCAGCCAAAACACAAGGTCCCCTGCAGGTAATGTTCAAGGGAGAGAGTATGGGGAACTTCCACCCTCTCTATTATTTTTTTAGCCACTATGCATTAACAGGAAAAAAAAAAAAGATTTCTATTTTGGAAATTAAAAAAAAAAAAATCCTGCTTAGCCAATAGAGAAACGGAGAGAGCCCAAAGCTGGTGATCTTACTGTCTCCCAGCCACTAAGAAGACTATGAAATATCTAGAACCAAGGTGAATTCCAGCTATCACCAGGCTGCACTTGCCAAGGCTGAGGAAACCCAGGGAGCCAGGAAGGCATTATCCACCATAAAGGCACAGTTTGGGACCAACAACGGGAGGAATGCTAGCATTTTTGTGAAGCAAATTGAAGTGGCCACAGCCTGCAAACTTCTGCCCTCACTGAAACCCTGATGGGCTCAGTGTCATCTGTGCCTCCTTTTTGAGGTCTCCCACACAGACACACCGTTCCTTCTTCCTTGCATCCTGCCCCACCCTCCTTATTCTGCAGAGCCCACTCCCTCAACATAAATAGTAGGTATTGTCAAGCCTGAGAAAAGAGAGGCCACGACAAAGTTTCAGAACTTAAACCTCATTCCTCTGGCTCAGCCTTTAGCCGCAGAACAGTGGAAACAACTCTTGTTCTGGACACTCTCCTTTCCCAGGAACACAGGACAGTTAGTGGTTAAGACTGTGTGCTCTGGAGTCAGACCTAGGTTGGAATCCCAGTTCTGTCACTAGTGGGCTGTGTTACAATGGGCAAGTTGTCTAACATCTCTGAGCTGCCATCCACTGTCATGAAATAAAGTAATGATACCAGCACTGAAATTCAGTCCCTACATAATGGTACAGCTGGTTGTTAAAACATCAAAATATCTGCAAATTGATTGGTAAATAGCCATAGCCTTGGGTCCCTACGTCCCTAGCTTCTCTCCTGCCTGCTCCCCTTGATCCAGTAACTAAAGTGTTCACTCTTGGCAGAACAGAGTCCTTGATCTAGCACGAAGGCCAGCATCTGTTCTGATTGGTAACGCCTGTGCCTCAACAGCAATGACCCCTGGCAGAGGTCATTTCTGGGATGATGCAGATAAAGGACTGGGCAGAGTTGTTGCGGGAAGGGGGACCCCTTCCTAGGCCCGAGAGTGGGCTCTTGTCTCACGCTCGGAAATGAACTGTCCAAGGAGACACACGTGCTGACACAGCAAGAGACTTTATTGGGAAGGGGCGCCCGGGCGGAGAGCAGGAGGGTAAGGGAACCCAGGAGGACTGCTCTGCCACGTGGCTCACAGTCTCAGGTTTTAGGGTGATGGGATTAGTTTCCAGGTTGTCTCTGGCCAATCATTCTGACTCAGGGTCCTTTCTGGTGGCACGCACAACCGCTCAGCCAAGATGGATTCCAGCGAGGAGTCTGGGAGGTCGGTAGGACATGTGGACTGGCCTCTCCTCTCTCCTTTTGACCTTTCCCATATTCTTCCGGTTGGTGGTGGCTTATTAGTTCCATGTTCCTTACCGGGATCGCCTGTCGTAAAATAAGTCATGCAAATTGTTACTGTCTTTGCCTGGCCAGGGCAGGCAGTTTCAGTCAGTGTTTCCCCTAACAAGAGTGTCTGGTACATAGTGAAGCAACTCAGTCAATGTCAGTTGCTCTTGCTTTAAACATCGAACCTAAAGGGCAGAGGCAGGATCAAGATCAGGGTCTCAAGTATTATAAGCTGGTGAAGATGGGTTATGACTGGCAGTTCAGGAACAGTCACAGGGCCGGGGATGAGTCAAGGGCAAAGCCGTGTGGGTGGTCCTGCCTGAATTAAAGAGCCAGAGCAGGACCAATATATCCTGCTAGGCTTTGTCTTTTTAATGCCTTGGGGGATCAGAAAAGAATATTCCAATCCAAGGCCCCTCCCATTGAGGACTTGAATGATCTTAAAGAGAGGCGGTATTGTGTACTGGCAACAAGTCTGGGCTCTGGAGCCAGACTGCTTGGGTTCAAATCCAAGCTCTGCAGCTTTACTAGCTATGTGAACTTGAGCTAGTCACTTAACTGTTCTGTGCCTCAATGTCCTCATCTGTTAAATGGGAGTGATAAAAGTACCTGCCTCGAAGAGTTCTTATGAGAAATAAATTAGGCAATACATATACAGTGTTAGAAGAGCATTTGGCACAAAGTAAGCTATCTGTATGTTACCTATTGTTAAGAAGCTCACAGGTGTAGTGGAGCAGTCAGATTCATGCCCACATAATTCTGTCCAGGGTGACAAACAATCTTTCTTCACCCTCCTAGTTGAAACTCGTCCCCTGCTCTCCTGGGCCTCCTGTACCAGCTCCCACATTTTACAGACTGGGAGGCACAGAGAGAGAAGGGTCTTGCCCATGGTCACATGTGGGGTCACTGGCAAAGATGGGATTTTATTTTAGAGTTCCAGAGACCACTTCCAGCATCTCATGCTGCCTCTCCCCACCTCCTCATGCCTTAGATTATGGTATCTGTGAGCAGGGATGAGCTTTTGCCTGTCTCTGGGTCCCCAGGGCCAGGTGCTCAGAAGATGACAGAGTCAGGACTTTCAAACACCTGTCTCTCGTAAATCACCAAACAAACGGGCCAGGGACGTGCCTGCTAATTGGTGCCCCAGGTATGCTCTCATCCTGCTAGGACCCCAGAGAGAAGACATAGCCTGAAGCTGGGAGGATGGACAGCAAAACAGTTTTCACGGGGAACGGGACGATTTCTAAAGAAAAAGAGAGAACTCTAGTGGCTCCTCCCCAGCGAGCCTGGCCCTGAAGTTTCTGGGATCAGCCAGAGAAACCTAGCCTCCCCTCTTGGCAAGCTGGTCCGCATCCCCTATTGCCCAGCCCACCTCAACACTCACTCAATTGGCAGAAGCCCCGCCTCCACCCCACCCCCCCCAAGCTCTTCAACATCCGGGCTCAGATTCAACCAATCCCCAGATGCCCCGCCCTACTTTTGTCAGATGGCTAGAAGTGCCTCCCCCGCACGTGGCCCAACCCGAGGCTATCTGCTCCCCTTTCGCCCCCAGTTTGGAGTAAAACGATTCCTTCTCATTGCCTTGGGTCAGGAGCTCTCAGCTGCCACTGCAGCTGGGGCTGCCGGGCCCGGCTTTGGGGAGACCCCCAAGTGCGGGGAGGCGGTGTTCCCAGGGCCCTGAAACCTTCCAGACCCACTCAGTGTAAACCGCCTCTGGCTTGTGTCAACATCAGAGGCCGGAGACTGGCGGCTGGGGACAGGCTTCGTCTACGGGACGGGAAGACGGGAGGGTGGGGAATGGAGGGGTTCATGAGGTAGGCAGATCCTTCCGGGGGAGATTCCGGGAGGCCTCTGGGACTCCGTGAGAAATAAGGAAGGGACGGATCGGAATTAGAGGCTGTGAGGGGCCCACGGCTAGCATGGGGCTAGGTAGAGGCTGGGTACTTTGCCATCCTCGCCCACCCGCCATGGCTTGAGGGGAGTGGATGTGTTGGGGGAGGGGATGATGCGAAGGCGTGGGCTGCTGACTACCTCATCTCTTCCCTCCCCAACTCAGCTCCTCGTTGCCCTCCTCCGATTTTGGGTGGGATATGGGGTGGGGGGGGACACATCTTGTGACTCATCCACTTTTCCATCCCCACCCCCGCTGGGGCCCAAGAAGGAAAGGCTTAGAGACTCAGCTTTGGCTCTTCCGTTTCCATAGCAACCATGCGGTTGTTTTTGCGAATCCAATTCAATTGTGGACACTTTTAACCTCAGACGATGGCTCGGGGTCTGAGCCTCAGGACGGGGTACAGATGGGGGTACAGCTCTCTGCTCTTTCCTCGCTACTCTGGGATGCTCAGGGCGGGCGGGCGGAGCGCTCTCCTGCAGCCGGGCCTCACTGGGCACCAGGTCCCCACCTGAAACCCCGCCTGCCACTCCGCCTCAGCCGACCCAATCAACGCCCAATCTGCCCGGGATGAGGCGGGACTTATGCAAATCGTGTCGCCTCTGAGAGACACATAGTGATACAAGAGCTGGGAGGCGACTCGGGCGCGGACCTTGGGGAACCTGGCCGTCGGCCCGCGAGCCAGTCTCAGTCTCCGCGGCCCGCCGAGGCTCAGAGTCATCCAGCGACCCGGCGAACGGCCTCAGGTAACGTGGGCAGGGCCGGGTGGAGGCCCTTGTCCCTTCCCCCTCCACTCTTCATTCCCATTCCCTCGTCTCCTGCCCCCTCTGATTCATCTCCCTGACCCCTGGTTCCAGCATAGGCGGCAGCATGTGGAGGGCTCGCCCCTGGCCAGGGGACCCCCCCACTGCAGTCCACGCCCCACAGGTCCCAGGGAAGGAGGCAGAGTTGCCTCCTTACCCCCCGAGCAACCACTGCTCTGGCCCCCAATACACAGTCACACGCACACACACACGGGGGAGTGGTGTTGCCGGTGCTAGAGAGGAACCCATCACCCTCCCTCCTTTGCAGGTGGGTAGTCCGCTCAGCCCCATGGCAACCTCCCACCTCCACAGATAGCCCCTACCCACACCCTACCCGGCCCCACCGGCAGCTCACTGCACTTCACATCGTAATGTCCCTGCCCCAAAAGACAGCCTCCACCTCCAAAGAGAGCCCACTCCCACTTCACACTGTCCCCTCAGACTGTCCCCACCTCCACCCCTCAAGGTGACAGAGCTCACAGCATACCTGGGGGTGGGAAGAGGCTCACCACCCGGTTCTCCTCCTTGTGACCCTCTCTCAACAGGCCCCCCTGCCCATGGTCTCAGTGCAAGGCAGAGGCCCCATGTTTGGCCTCTTTCACCTGGCTTCAAGATAAATCAGGGGCACCATTCCCCAGCAGACCATCCATACCTGTCAGTCACCACTGCCAAGGTCCCAACCTCCTCCGTTCCCCTGACTTCTCACGGCCAAAGCACCAAGTTTTCTCATTCCACCTCTCAAATATCTTTCTAATTCGTACCCTCTCTGGCCTTCTTGCTCCCAGCCACTCCCTCTCTCCTATCTTCCTGTGTCTCATCCGTGTGGACTGTACTGCTCCTTCCCTAAGGCAGCCTGAACCTGGAGGGCAGAAGAGCTGGGTTCAAATCTTGCCTTTGCCTCAGTTGCTGTTTGACTTTGGCCAAGTCACTTCCCTCTCTGATCCTTCGTGAGATGGGGAACAGGGGCAGGGTGGGCAGGACAGAGAGTGGACTTGATGAGACGATATTGGACAGCCTTCCAACACTGACGCACTCTGGTTCTGTGGTTGATTATGAGAGAACAGGACCCTTTCTCTCTTACCCTGAACCATTAGGACATTTCAGAGAGGAGGCTTTAGCCGTCACCAAAAGGACATTGCTTCTTACCCAGGCCTGGGTACGGGCCAACCCCTTCCCACATACTCTCCAGGCCCAGGCTCCTCCTCAGCAGTTCGGAGTCCCTCCTAGACCATCAGCCCACATGGCATGGGCAGCTCCAAGGTGGAGGTGCTCAACAGGGCCCACCTTTTGTTTATCATTCCCTGTGTCTCACTAATAAGGAGAGGGAGAAGACCTGGCTTTTGCTGCCATGGCCACTGCTTGGAGAAGAGCAAAGGGAGGAGAGGAAAGAGAAAAATCTCCTGACCAGGGAGCTGTTGTCACCATGGCAACAGTCTCAGCACCAGCTCCTCTGAAGCTGGGTGAGGGTGTGGGATTATTGCCTCCCTCAGCCCCTCCCACCCTCCCTGCCATCTCCGCATTTGGAGCCCACAACCCTGAGTCCTGCGCTCTGAAAGAAGCCTCTGAGCCCAGAAGGGCAGCGGCTTTGTGTATGGGGCAGTGCCAGCTCCTTCACAGCTGGAGGGCAGCTCTCAAGAGGAGCCTGCCCACATGCAGCCAGGCCACAGCTCCAACAGAACATGCCCCCAGTGGGTTCTGGCCTTCGCCTTTCTGCTGATGGGTTCTACTTGACTTTGGGTGAACTCTTCCTTTCCTAGGGTCTGGGTTCCATTGTCTCTAAGTGGGAGCAATGGCAGGAGAACACAGATAAACAAAACAGCCTGACGCCATTCCAAGGAGAAAGAAGGGGGTTCTGCCCTTTGCATATAATCCACAAAGGGACATTCACTGAACATCTCTGTGTTCCAGATGTGGCCTTTAGGTCTCTGCAGAGCAGTTCTGTGTTGCCACAGAGGACAGAGTGGCAACCTGTGTGGGGCAGCTACAAGAGGGCAAGTAGGAACAAGGGGAGAAGTACTTTCCTCACTGTCCAAGCTGCTCCCAAACAGACTGGGTTATATCGGGAGGGAATAAGCTCTTTGCCATGGAGCAAAAGTCCTGGAGAACTTTTTCTGGCTCAGACGAGAGTGTAACGCAAAAGTCTCTCCCAAGTCAGGCTCCATTGTGGAATTCTAGAGCAGCAGGTGAGGGTCAGAGAGCTCTGAAGTCTACGCACCTGTGGGGCTCAACTCCATGGGCTCACAGGTTCTCCTCGTGCCCAGAATGCCAAGTTCATGCCGCTGACTGTCAACTCTCCAGGCTGGGAGAGGCTGATCATAAGGAAGTGGGCTTCAGTCAGGCCTGAAGGCTGATTATAGCTGCATCCGTCCCGAAGAGAAGAGAGGATATTAAGGAAGATGGAAACAGCTAAGCAATAGTTGAAGTAGGTTCTGGCTGTGAGAAGACTAACTTGAAAGTATGCAATTGTGAGGGGAGCAGTGGGAGGTGAGGCAAGACAGGTGGACACCTTGACACCAGATGCTAGCGGATTCTGGAGTTTCAGGAGCCCATGGGCATGGCCACCCCTAGCCTATATTGTACTTCTGGGCAAAACTAGAAAAGACATTCTCGTGGAACAGAGGAATTAGAAGGAAACGCACCCCCTCCGAGGCAGTTGAGCCCACAGGATAGCTTGGCAAGCAGTGCCCCAGCTAGGTTTCAGCCCCCTTGGCTGTGCCCCTGGCCCTGACTATGTGGGGAGAGAGGACATGGTGAAGGTTCCAGGAACATTTCAAAAGAAGTAACAATAGGACTTGGTAGCAAGTTGAACCTAGGGAAAAGGGAGAGGGGAAACTAAGGGTAACTATGATCACATTTCCCCACTGGGATGAGGGAGGGAAGGAAGGAAGGGCAATGGAGAGAGAAGGACCATCACGGGTTGAGGGTGAGTCTGGTTGTAGACGTGCTGAGTCAGAGGCGCTGGTGCACCACCCCAAAGGGTCGGTATTTCTTGGGTATCAGATACTGTGGCCTGGAGCCACCAAGATGGTCCCACTGAGGCCAAGGGGGAGATCAGAGCTGTGGTTTTCCTGGAAGGCAGGTAGGAGTCTGTACTAGACAAGAGTAGCCATGATTTGGAGAGGGTGGTCCAGGCAGGTGGCATGGATTCAGCCTGGGTGTAACTCAGCCAGTTTTCTCCTCTCTCTGGGTTCCAGTTTTCACTAAAATGAGGGGATGATCTTAAAGGGCATCACCAGCTTTGGCCTGCTGACCTAAGAGCACTAGAAGGAATGAAGAGAGATGAAGGAGGAGTCACAGTCCTTGGTGGGCCTGGGATCAAATGGGCACTGAGAACAGGTATGGCCCCAGGAGACAGAAAATGGTAGGAAGGCAGCGCAGGGAAGGAGGAGAAAAGGGGCAGGAAGTGAGAGTCACACAGACGCCATCTCACGCGCGCACACACACACACGTGTGCACTCTGGCAGATTTGCAGTCTCATACACTGATGTGCTCCCACCCACTCCTGGCCCTTTACGCAGACACTCAGGCACATCCCACAGGAGCAGAGGGAGAGGCTCTGCCTTCCCCGTCAGATGCTTCCACCCCTGGGTTCTTGAGCTTTCTTGACTATACCCCGAGCCCTCAGTGTGCTTTGGGCTGGAGGAGGGGGCAGCTGAAGATGGAGCCTGCCTCCTCCTGCCCATGCGTGTTCCACACGTACCCTTGACTCTGGCCCCAGGGCAGCCGTTTTGGACCCCACAGTTCTAGGTTCCCGAAGATGTCACACCTCCCCCTCCCCGCCTTCTTCTGGGAGCATATAGGAGTCCGCATTCTCTGGGGTTGGTAAGTGGGAGAGGATGTTGCTACCCCTACTGCTCCTTGATCTGCCTTATGGCCCAGTAGAGGAATCTGAGGCCCAGAGCTATCCTGTAACTCACTGAGGTCACATAGCAAGGGAAGGGGCATGGACCTGACCCATCTCAGATCTAGTTACCTAGGGCACTCCCAGCAGTAAGGATTAGAAGCCACACTGGCTTGCACTGGGCTGTGGAAGTAGAATTCCTTCTGCCAGCCTGAGGGCTTCCTTTTGCAGAGTGTCTTCATGACAAGCTACCCTGCAGTTGGAGTCTGGCACCCCTCCAAAGAGACTCCAGGCAGGTCAAATTCACCTCCCAGGCCATGTCCTGGGAAACTGGGGCTCTAGTGGGACATTCCTGAATGTCCACTCAGCCTTCCGGGTCTGGTGGGGGCCTCACTCTAGCCAGGCTTCATGGGGAGGGCCTGTACCTCCCTCTGCAAAAAATGCCTTGGGCACAGGCTACTTGAGGGGCTCATGTTCGCACTGGGGACTGACTCTTCATTCTCCCCAAACCTGTTTCTCAGCAACACCACCTCTATCTATTCAGCCCCAAATCTGAGCATTGGCTGCAATTCCTCTGTCCCTCTCACCCCCGCATCCAGTCAGTCCCCAAGTCCTGCTAAGGCCCCCTCCTAACATCTCTCAGTCCATCCACATCCCTCCACCACCCCTACCCTAGTGTCATTGTCTCTCACCTGAACTCTGCAGCAGGACCTCTCTGCTCTCCCTCCTTCCCACACCCAGGTCATCTTGCACACTGTAGCCAAAGGAAAAATCCTAAAACACATTCCTTCTCTCTGGGTCCCCAGCACCATGTCGTAAGCAATCTATAAGTGTTTGTGGAACGAATGTGGTCCTCTTAACACTTGCTTTAAAACCCCAGGAGCTTCTGTCCTCCACGGGTAAAGGCCAAACTCCTTGGCATGGATTGAAGGCCCTTTACAGTCAGCCGTCTACCTCTTTGACCCAATTATGAGTTAGTGAAGGTTGGCTCATGTCGACTTTATCCCCATCACTGGCACAGGGCCTAGCACACAGTCAACCTCAATAAATGCTCAGGGAATTGGGCTTGCCTGATGGCGCAGTGGTTGAGAGTCTGCCTGCCGAGGCAGGGGACACGGGTTCGTGCCCCGGTCTGGGAAGATCCCACATGCCGCCAAGCGGCTAGGCCCGTGAGCCATGGCCGCTGAGCCTGCGCGTCTGGAGCCTGTGCTCCGCAACGGGAGAGGCCGCAACAGTGAGAGGCCCGCGTTCCGCAAAAAAAAAAATGCTCAGGGAATGAATGAAGGAATGAAAAGGAGAAGGCAATCAGCGTCATCAGTGCTACCAGCTAGGACTTCTATTTGTACAGAGGAAGGAGGGAGAGAAGTTTCTTGCTGGAGTGGCCTGGAAGGCCTTGAGGAAGAACTTGGGAGACATGCAGGGGGAGCATGTGAGGAACCTGCCTGGCAGGAGAGGAGCCTGCAGAGGTGGGTAAGGGCTGAGTGCGGAAAGCTCTGAATAGCAAGGGGAGGATTAAGACTCTGTTCTATGGGTGTAGGGAGCTATGGAAGGTGTAAAGAGGAGAGGAGAGGATGAAGATTGTAGCATGCAGACTGGTCAGTGAGAAGGAAGAGTGCTGAGACCTGGAAGGCTAGAGATCCTGGTTTCCAGGGGAGGAACCCTGCTGTGAGGAGAGGGGCGGGGCCTGCTGTAGACAGAGGAGGCCCTGTAATGAGGGGAAGCCCCCAGCCCAGTTGTGTGTAGGGGAAGGGGTAGGGGGGGAGGTAGGAGCTCCTATGGGAAGAGGTGTGGTGAAAGGACACAGCCCAGCTGTAGGAGTTGGGGGTTGTCCAGGGTGGTGGTGAGAGGAGGGGGACCCACCCTGCTATGGAAGGAGGGGTCCTGGCTGTGGGGATGTGGAGTTTATTATGGGAGGGCGCTGTGGTGGAGAAAGGGAGCCTTGTCCTACAGAGACCCGGGGGAAGGCTGCTGAGGTGAGGGCCTTGCCCTGGGCCAAACTGAGGGAGCTCCCTGTCCCCTCAGGCCCTGCCATGGGGAAGACCAACAGCAAGCTGGCCCCAGAGGTGCTGGACGACCTGGTTCAAAACACCGAGTTCAGTGAGCAGGAGCTGAAGCAGTGGTACAAGGGCTTCCTGAGGGACTGCCCCAGCGGCATCCTCAACCTGGAGGAGTTCCAGCAGCTCTACATCAAGGTAGGCGGAGCCAGGCACCCCGAGGGGCGGGCCGGGCGGGCGGGGGCGGGGCCAGGCACTCTGCAAGGCTGTTGCAGTGCCGCAACTCCAGTGTCCCCGCCTCAGTTCTTCCCCTACGGCGACGCCTCCAAGTTTGCGCAGCACGCTTTCCGCACCTTCGACAAGAACGGCGACGGCACCATCGACTTCCGGGAGTTCATCTGCGCCCTTTCGGTCACCTCCCGCGGCACCTTCGAGCAGAAACTCAACTGGGCCTTTGAGATGTACGACCTGGACGGTGACGGGCGCATCACGCGCCTCGAGATGCTGGAGATCATCGAGGTGCGCTGGGGCGGATCCCAGAGACCGGGGTGTGCTGGGGTGACGCGCTACCTGTCTTCGCTGCGGGGGCCCTTCTCTGGCACCGCCCTCTCCAGCCACCCTCCACTCAGGCCTCGGGAGCCACCTCGGGACACCCCACCACTCCCCTCCTCCCTCCTCCCAGGATCCAGTGGGTAGCATTGGTTGGGCGCTCAGTGTGGGGCAGGTCTTGTGCTATAGTGCTTTACCCAACAACTCCAGGGGGTAGGTACTGTTAGAAATCCCATTTTACAGATGAGGAGATGAACCAAATGGCGGTTCATGATTCCAGTCTAAGGAGTCTGACTCCAGAGTCTAAGTTCTTAACTCATTATTATTTCAACAAATGTATACTCAGTGCCTGCCACGTGCCAGGAACAATAAATGCAAAGACCCTGAGGTTAGACTGTGTTTTCAGTGTTCAAGGAGTGGCCAGGAGGCCAGGGTGGTGGGAGAGAAGTCAGCAAGGGGAGAGTGGTAGGAAGGGGGTCAGATAGGTAGCCAGGAGTCCATCTCTTAGCATCATAGTCTGGGGTAGAGACTTGACTTTCTTCTGAGTGAGATGGGAGGCCCTTAAGGGCTCTCTCCATTCTCTGTGTGGAATAGTGGGTGGGAGGGCAGCAGAAGTAGGGAGACCAGTTTGGAGACTTCCGCTGCAGGCCGGTCAGGAGGGGACGGAGGCAACAACCATGGAGCAGTGGAGGTAGCAGGCAGTGGCTGGTTATTGGACCTATTACAAAATTAAGGCTGACAAGATTTGCTGAAACATTGGATATGGATGTGAGAAAAGGAGAGTCGAGAATGGCATCAAGGTCTTTGGTCTGAACATCTAGAAGAATGAATTTGCTGTTCACCGAGACAGGGCATGCTGGGGCCCGAGCAGGTTGGAGGTGAAGAGTTGGGTAGTAGACATGTTTGGTGTGAGATGCTCATTAAACCTCCAGTCTCAATGACCATTTGTCACCTTCCAGTATCCTCACATCTCCCTGTTCGCCATGCCCACCCCCAGGCCCTTTCGTTCACCCCCAACCCTCCCTTCCCACTGTGAGTGTTCACACCTCCCTCCTTGCCCCACCAGGCTATCTACAAGATGGTGGGCACCGTGATCATGATGCGCATGAACCAGGATGGGCTCACGCCCCAGCAGCGTGTGGACAAGATCTTCAAGAAGATGGACCAGGATAAGGACGACCAGATTACACTGGAGGAGTTCAAGGAGGCGGCCAAGAGTGACCCGTCTATTGTGCTGCTGCTGCAGTGTGACATGCAGAAGTAGAGGCTGGTGAGGGGCAGGGCCCCTGGCCAGGAGGGGCGTGGCCACCTCCCAACCCAGTGACCTCTGGTTGGCCCTTCCCCAGGGGGAGGGGGACTCCAGCCTCACTCTCTGGCCCACCCACCCCTCTGCCCAAGTCCTTGCTCCCCTCAATCAAGATCCTTGAGGGACCACCTAACTCTGGAATAGAGACAGATCCTCAGGTATCCTGTGGTCTAGCCCCAGCCCCAGTCTTGGCCCAGAATCAACATCCACTGGGCATAGGGGAGTTGGTTTTTGCATCAAGGTGCAGGGTGAAGGAGGGGGGCTGGGTTCTGCTTTGAAATTCTGTTCTTCCTGGGATTGTGCTTTATAGGATGTGGTCCCACAGACCCCGGTTAAAGGGCCAAATTGGGTCTGTCCTTTGCTGAGGACCCAGATCCCTTAAAGGTGGTCTGTGTCCTGCCCCCACGACTCTACCTGGCCCCTCTGGCCCCAGCCTTTGGAGTGTTCATTCAGTCCTTTCTTCAGCTAACATTTATTGAGCACCTGTTCAGCGCCAGGCACCTCTAGGTGCTAAGGCTATGGTAGTTTACAAGACCCATTCTGTGCCCTCCGGCAGCTCGTAGGGTAGTTAGTGATCAGGGTCTCAGACAGGGGTGTTGAGCACAGGTGAGCAGAGGGTGCGGTGAGGCTGGTTAGTTTGAGAGGAACTATTAAATCTTCCTGCTCAGCTCCACACAGAGCTGCAGAAGGATGAAACGAAAAGTGTTTGGAAGTCTAGGAACCATGTCAGGGGGAATTTTAAGAAAAATTGAAATTTATGTAATACCTATATTTTTAGGACCCTTTAAAAGAGCTAAAATCACTTTATTAGTTGAGGATATTAAAACATACTTTATATTACTTGGTTTCTTGTAAAATGATTAAATGAATACAGAAAATGCTAATTTTCAGGGGGAAAAAAGAACTGAGAAAAAAGAGAGACAATATCACCCAACTTACCAGATGACAGTTTTTCTTATCAGGCTAAGTCCTGAGCTGTCACAGTCAGCAGTTTCTGCTGCTTCCTTTTTAATGATCTTTTTCAATTCAGTGAGCACGTCTCTGCTGTGCACTTATTCTGGTTCGGTGCTGACTTCAGAAACAGAGAACACAAGGTTTGCCAAGAGTGAGACAAGTGTAGTTTCCACATCTGGATTTGGTCTAGTTTAAGAATGGGCTTATTCTTTCACCGCTACGGAAGCAGACGGAGCTAGAAGACGAGGACCAGCCGGCTGCTGTTTTGGCTGCCAGGCTGCATGTATGGACCAAATGCCTAAAAATGTGCTGGGCATGCTCCATTGAAAGGCTCTTTCTAACCCCAAATCCTAAGTCCACCAGGTAGTTCATCTTCCAAGTGCACTGGCTTTGCTTTCCAATGTCTGCTTTCCAATTTTGGATCCATGAGCTATACAGCTGCATGCTTTGAATGCCAGAAAATTAATCTTGCTTCTTCATCAAGTCTTTCACTTTACTTTCTCCTGTGCTTGTAATCAGAAATTAACTTCAATGTGCAGTGACAGTGGATTTTCTCTTGAACTGCTGGTGAAAATAGTCTAGTACACAGGTGCTGTCAGCCCAGGGTGGGAGCTGGGAATGATTGCTGGGTTGGGGGGCGTGGGGTTGTATCTTCAGGAAAGAGATGCAGCATACCTCTTACTTTTGAGTGCTCACCTGTCCTCCCTCTCTGCAGGTGGAAACTCTTGGGGATGCTGACCTGTGGTCTCAAATTCTATTAGACTTTCCTTCTTGCTGCCCTTAGGGGTGGCAAGTCTGCTGGGTTGCCACCCTCTTTTTATCCTGCCAATGACCAGCCACATGGTAAGACTGGGGAATTCACATCCTTGGGCAGTAAGCAGCAAGTTTTTATCCAGTAATGTCTCAAGGGATGTTTCATTGCTCTCAGGAGCTGGCCATTAAGTGTGTCTTGTGCTGTCAGTCAACACCAGAGGTACATAGGGACTCAACAGCCCAGCTCAGGTGAGACTTCCAATAGAAGGCTTTTACAAAGTGGGGTTCCTGTCCCCCCAACGTTGACTCTAACCTAACTCACAATCACACAGAACTTCATGGCTTTCGAAGGCTTGCATGGACCCCTCTCATTCTATCCTCACAGCCTAGGGAAATAGGAATTTTCATTCCATTTCTCCAGATGTGGAAGCTGAGGCACAGAGTAGAGTTCCCTGTGCAAGATCACAGTCAGGAGGTGGCACAGTGCCGAGACTCGAACCCAGGGCTCTACAAGGGTTTCTTCCCTTCAGAGCGTCTTCCCTGCTCATTCCTCTGACTCTGAGTTGCACAGAGATTGACTGTAGGACAAGCTAAGTTGGTTTTGGTCTTTTACAAGCTTCCTGCTAAGAAGTTTCTGAGGCTGTGGTCTTCCATAAAGAAATAGGAGCTTGATTGAAGTCCCCACATTTTCAAGGGTCTTATTTTCTATTTCTGGGCAGCTCTGCTAACAGGTCAGTGCTGTCCTAGGAGACCTCTGACTCAACCCGGAAAGCATCTTTCACTGTCTTTATTATCTTCCTCCCTGAGAGAACTGTTTTGTTTTTTCCTAGATGGTGGGCAAGTCCTACCCATGACGGCATGTTTGATCACTCCAAGCTTCTGGACATACACCCATGGGTGATATTTGATGGTCAGGCCAAAGATTCTCAGACATCTCAGCAGTGTGAACACATAATGCCAGGCTGGGAGCTGGGACCACTATCTTGCTGATGGGAAGGGCCACAGGCGGGCCAGACCTTGCTCCCACTTGCTCCTGGATGTCCCCAGGGACTGTGTGCTTAGGAATTCCTGTGGTAGAGCACCGGCCCTGCCTTGAGAAGAGAGGCAGGCCTCCGATCTCTGCCCCAGCTAAGAGGGACTTGCCACAGAGCACAGGGTTAGCAGAGACTGAAATATGACTCGCCTAGACACAAAAATATACAGACAGTTAAAATGCTGAAATATCCAAACTTTCTTTTGAAGTTCTGTATCTTCTTGCAGCAACTCTGTGAATTACAAGGTCCCCAAATCTGCCTTCTAACTGTATTCTGTCTTTATTCATCCTTTTGGGCTAATTGAAGGGGGGCCCTTATTTCTTATCTCTAAAAGTCACCACCAAGGGCAACTTCAGATGGCCACTCTAGTCTTCTGAGCTGTACTCAAGATTATATGACTTACATTTAAATCAAAAGTTAAGAAACAGGAAGCCCAGAAGCAAAGGCACTGAATCTTTTCCTGATAATGGCAGAGTCCCTAGAGGTAGAAATTCATCCTGCTGCAAAGAGAGAGAAGGAGGAGAGGGGAGAGAAGGGAAAGAGAGAGAAGAAGAGAAGAAGCTGGGCAGGGTAGAAAGCTGACACTAAATATTTTTACACAAAAATTTACTAAAGCAACAAATATTTCCTGAAGATCCACCCTGGGTGAGGCTTTGTGCTGACCTTAGAGATCACTGTGGGGGCATGAATACATTTCTTACATATTTTATTCATCCGTTTTGAAAAAAAAATAATTCAAATATGCAATTGAAAAGTCTCAGAAAAATATGGAATTTTTTCCCTGAACTTTTCAGCGTTTTCTTTTACCTTTGCCAGAGTGTTGGGGGCAGGACTGGACCTCCAGGGTGTATGGCCCTTCCTGCTTTGGTGGAGGCTGCAGGAGGGTGGAGGCCTGGAGAAGCAAGGGGGGCTGGGTGGCAGAAGGGGGGCCTCCCAACTCATTCTCCAGCGTGGCCCCCTGTCCCCTTCAGATGTGCTGCTCCAGGCTGTGCCTGCAGTGAATGTCCTCAGTGTTCAACCCTGTGCTGTGTGGTGTATTTTTTTTTTTTTTCACTGACAGTGAATAAAAGGTGTGACCGTACCGAGAGCTCCTTCTCTTCCCTAAGCTGAGATAGGGCTGGGGTGAGGGGAAACGGGGAGAAGAGGCCTGAGGGAGCTCACACAGTGGGGGAACCTCACACAGTGGGGCTGAGGTCCTTGTTCTAGGTTACGTGGAACAGAGACCCACACGAGCTAGTTCATCAAAGAAAGGGGTGAGCATATTACAAGGGACCCTAGAGATGGAAATTCAAGAATGTCTGGGCCTCAGGAGAACTGGGACTGTCAATGGGGCCTCTGTCCTCTCATCTCTGGGCCTGCGGGTTCTCATCCCTTTGGCAGCATTCACATCTGTGCTTTCTTTAATTTCTCTTCAGACATCCATGGTTTCCCAGCACAAAGTGGCTGCATCTCCAACTCTATCCAGACTCACCAGCGACTGACAATTCCCTTCTGTGTCTCTTAATCCAGTTCTCAAGAGAAAGAATCTGATTAGCTTTTGGTAGGAGCCCGTGGTCCATCCATCGATGGCCAGACCAGAACTGATTTGCGGGGTCTGTGGGCAGAGCAGTTCCCCCATAAGGGAGCTAGTGGCAGGAGACCTTGGACTCAGTTTCTCCTTGTGTCCAGTGGAAGGTATGGTGAGAGCCCAAATGAGTGGATAGTGCGCAGCGAGGAGAGAGGCTGAGGGCCAGGATTACCAGTAGTCCATCTGGGGCTCTTTGCACGAATTAGGAAAAGGTGCCCCTTTGAGTGTAACAGTCCCATAAGCATTCAGCTCGGCCAATGGATGACACCTTTGGGCTAATGAGAAAAATATACCCCTTTTCTTAACAAATACAGCCTTGTCATGCCACGATGCACAGCTTGGCAAGTGGCAGCCAGCCTGGATCTCAGCCTCTATCTGCCCTGGTCAAGGGTATTGTGTGCTGCAGACACTGTTCCACCACCCACAAGAGCCCAGAGCCCTGAGACACCCTACACTGACCCAAATGTGGTGCGGTGAGGATGGGAATTAGTGGTGAAGTGTTTTTCTCAGAGCGTCCCCCCTAAAGCCAGAGAAGAGCTGTTCTCTGCAGGGAGTCCGGGGCGGGGCAGGGCGTGAGGCGGGGTGGGGGTGGGGGGGTCGGGTGGGGGTGGGGAGCAGGTGCAGTGGCAGCTGGAGGTGCCTGCTTCCTCCTGAAACGCTCAATTACTTTTGCAAGGGTTTTCTCAAGGACGCTTGGAGGGGGCCAGCTCCCTTGACAGGAAGCAATTAGGACAGAGGAATAAGGCTGACCTGGCCTCAGGGCAACCATGAACCTAAGGAGGTGACTCAGAAGCCTGAGAACTGGTGCGGCTGGGGGTGGGGGGCGGGGGGGGGGGCCTGCTACTTGCAGCTGAAACTACACTGAGGGGAAAGGGAGTCTAGTTCCTGCCTGTCTTGAGGTCACAGGTCAGTCCAGCTTCCGCTTTCAAGTTTGCCCTCTGGACCGTCTGCCCCTAAGGAACCAGAGTGATCTTCCTAAAGCACCATCTGACTATGTCAACTCTCCAACGCCCCCCTTCTTCCCTCAGTATAATAAGCCCCTTCGAAGTCCCTCACAGCCCTGCATGATCTGTCCCCTGCTGACCTCTGCTCTAAGCCCCACCTCCCCCTCCTGCACTTGAGTCACCCTGAATTGCCCTCTGTTTCCCTAAGGGATCTCTTAGGCCTCTGTGCCTGTGCGCAAGCCAGTGCCCCTCCCTGGGCCACCCGTACCCCTGTCTCAATGATCTCCTCCTCTGTGAAGCCCTCCCAGACCTCAAACAATTGGCCCCTCATGTGTACACAGTCCATCATAGTAACCGAAGAGCTTCCCATGTGATTCCCTGTCAGCTGAGCTGAACACACATTTAAGTCTCTGTTAATAAAAAAGAAAAAAAAGACAGGAAATGAAGGGTCAGAGAATGGATGGTAAGGCTGCGACCTGAACTCGGGTCTCCTAACTTCAAGGCCACTGCTTATAGTGCTTCCTCATCCATGGGAGGGAATCCAAATCTAGACGTGAAAAGGGAGGTAACAAACCTTGAGCTCTGGGCATCAGAGGAGGGGAGGGTCTTGCCTGGGGGGGCCAGGAGGTAGGGGAGGAGAAGGGGAGGGGAACAGGTAAAGGATGAAGGGAGGCTTCATGGAGGAGGTGGCTTCCACCCCTGGTCTTGCTGAACACCAGCCCACGGGGGGAGCAGTTCAGGTGCGGGGATCCTGAGTCCTCTTCAGATGGGCTTCTCCTGCCACAGGGAAAGATGGGTCTCAGCTCACGTTGTCCCAGATTAATAACCCCAGAGAAGACAGAGCCCAAATCTCCCAGCATCCCTGTACAAGAGTCCGGTGCAGCTGAGGTCGCATCCCCGTTGCGGCTCAGTCACTGTGTCCAGGGAAATAGAGTTATATGACTGGGCAGCATCGCATGCCTATTCCTGTGACCAGGGAGGCAGGGCCTGTTACTAGGAGGAGAGGGTGGGAAAAGTTGCTAGTCAAGCAAATCCAATAGCCACCACCTTTCTGAGGGGCATTTGTTGAAGCAATGTGGAGAATCTCATGGAAATTTAGAGATGGGCATTATAGCCAGGCTTCAGCTAGGACCTGGGAAACTATCAGGACCAGAAGCAGCTCCCTCTCAGGGCAGCACGGTTTCTCTTTCATGGGGTCTCTGCTGCCCTCTGCAGAAACCCTTTTCCATCTTTATGCTGATGGGCTCATTCTGCTCACAGAGTTTCTGCTCCCTCTCAGATTTATGTTGCACGTAACTGCAGCTGGCTAAGGCCCATCCAGGCCTCTTGGAAGCCAACTGTATTTCGCAGCATCCTTGGCTTCTGTTCTTACAGTTGACTATCCAGCCCCTGTTTCCCAATTCTAAATTCCTGAGAAAGAGGAATCTTTGGCACAGATCATCTTTTCAACCCAGGCTACTACCCAGGTCAAAGGTCACTGGACAGCATGGGGATGGTTCACCTTTGGGCCAGGTGCTCACTGCCATCCAAATAACTCTATACATTCTCCCTGATGACCTCCTCCTCCTCCTCTTCCATGAGGCACCTGAGAATAATTGACCCCTTCCTAGAGTTTCATTATTTACAGCTGTGTAACAAGCCACCCCAAAATGTAATGCTTAAAACGATAAAAACATATCATTTTTCATAATTCTTTGGGTTGCCTGGGCTCAGCGGGGAGGTTTTGCTACTTTATGTGCTGTCTGTGGTCACTCCTCCTGCTGCACCGCACTAGGAGCTGGGCTGGGGCTGGAGCAGTAAGATGACCTCACTCATATGTCTGGCAAGTGATGCTGACAGTTGCCTGGGAAACCACCTTTCTCCACTGGCTTCTTATCCTCCAGGGCCTCTCTGCCTCTCCATGTGGCCTTTCCAGACTCCTTTACATAGTAGCTGGCTCTCAAGAGGGCAAAAATGGAAGCTGCAAAGTCTCTTAAGGCTTAAGCTTAGAAATCACACAGCATCACTTCTACAGCATTCTATTAGTCAAAGCAAGACGCTGGGTCAACTCAGATTCAGCTCCACCTCTGGATGGGAGAAGTGTCCAAGTCACATTGCCAAAGAGCAAGCAGGATGGGAGAGAGTTTGAGGCCATCTGTGGAAACAATCTGCCAAGCCTGGAGAAGGACAAGTCTAAACATACTTCCCCCAATCCTAAAACTTTCTGTTATGATTATTTCTCCTTTTCTCCCATGCAAGGTTTGGTTGGTTCCTCCCAGGTCATGATGGAGGCTGGGCAGACCCCTCCATTCTGTACCCCATCCCAGTCAGACGTCCACCAGGCTAAGCCAGTATTTTCTCCTGCTGCTCCCAGCCACCTTTGCACACTTCTAGACACACACAGAGATGCCCCTTGTCTGCTTCCTAGCCTGTGCCTTGGAATGAGGGGCATTAATGTCTGCACCTCGGGGTCTGCACCAAGGAGGGCAATGCCCTAGAACTCCAGGATGTTGGTCCAAGACTCTTGGGTTCCTAGGCTCCTTTTCTATCCTCTTTCAATCCAGCCACTTCATGGCGTATAACTAACCAAGCTCAGCAGGTGGTACCTGGGAGTGTGCGCTCCCTGCTGGCCATCAAGGGGCTAGCAGGAACCGGGGTCCCCGGGAGTCTCTCTGGTCTGGGTCCCCGGCCAGGCCAAGGGGAGCCTGGTCTCGCCACCGACTTCAAGGGCCCCTCCGCCTTGGTGGGGAAGAGCTTCCCGGCTGGGCCCTCCGCTGTGCCCCCAGCTAGGAGCAGGCTCCTGCTCGTGGATGGAGCTGTCCATCCACCACCTCCTCCCCCTCTGCGGAACAGACTAGGGTTTGAGGGAAGAGGACGCCGCTCAGGGTCCCACTGTCCTGGCATCAGAGGGGAAAGACGGGGGCTAGCTTTGTTTTGTGGGGGCGGCTAGCTTTGCATTTTTTCCTTTGTGGATCACCACCCCGGGGGAAAAAGTCGGCAGGTCTCCCCTTCTCTCGGTGCCGAATAGCTCATCGAAGAACACTATCCCCGCAACCCCGAACCCGCAGCAGCCCGCAGGCCCGGCTTAGGCCCCCTCCTCCTGCGAGTCGGAGGGTCCAACCGCCCCTCCCCCCCATTTCGGGCGTGGGGCGGTCGGGGAAGGAGAGCGCAGCTGTCCTGAAATACACATCCACCAGCAACAGCAGCAACGCACCGGCTGCCGACAGGGCGAGCTGAGCACCCCAGCGGGCCCCCCCGCCCATCCCGCCCTCCGGCCGGCCCGCACGCGCACTCTCCACCGCTGCCCGCCCCCTTCTCACGCCTGGGACGCGCCTCCTTCCCGCAGCCCAGCCCCGCCGGCTCCGCTCTCCGCAGCCGCCTGCTCCGGCTGGGCCAGATCAGAGCCGAGCATGGAGCCTGGGGAGCCCCGGGAGCCCCGCGAGCCCGCGCCGGGGGCAGGGACCGCCGCGGCCCCGAGCTGGGAGGAAGCCAAGACTTTCCACGACAACCTCGCGCCCAAGAAGAAACCCAAATCGGTAAAAGCAGGGCATGGGTATGGGGGAGGGCAGGGGGCGGGTCACCGGAGGGGGGATCGTCAGCCTTCTGGAGAGGGACCCGTGGTGCCCCTCCGAGAAGGGACGCAGTTCCTCAGCACGAGAATGCGCCAGGCCGTTGGCACGGGCTCGGGTTTATTTTTGGAGCTCTGCTCTGGTGTTTTTCTTATGCCGGGGCTCGTGTTCCACGCCAGGATCCCCCTCCGTCATGCTGTCATCAGGGCCCAGCTCCAGACTTCGGCCCAGCCCCTCCCCTTGCGGGCAGCCTGGGGCGAGCGGACAGCATTTGTTGGCAAAGCCGGTCAGCGGCGCCTGCGGAAGCGCCCCGGGCTCAGGTAACCCGACTCTGAAAACTCGGCTCCTTGCTGTGCGCTCCGGTTTCTGCCATCTGGGCACCGGGCTCCGGACCCGAACCTCTGCGTTTGGGGTCTGAGTCAAGGTCCTGCGCCTTGGGCTCGGGGTGCCGGGTTCCCCGCGTCTTAAGAGGAGGGAGCTGCCCTGGAATCTGCTCTCTGAGCTTAGGGGCTCTGCGTCCCTGGTTCTGGGATCCCGACGCTGGACTCTGCTCCCCAGCTCCGGGCTCTGCTCGCCTCACAGGGGAGCCCTCGCTGGCATCGACATCTCTGCGACCTCAGTGGTCGTCTCATCCCTTGGGGATTCACACAGAGGAGGGAGCTCGTCTCCTCATTGGACAGATTCATGATGCCCTCGTTGGTCCCTGGGCCTTGCTCACTCCAGCCTCCCAGATCTCAGAGCTTGGGAAGGGGATAGAGGATCGAAGCTGGCTCAGAGCATCCTCCAAAGAGCTCCAGCCTGAGACCCTTCCCATAAGGCCCACCCTGTCAACAGTCATTCCCCCAGAGCACCTCCAGGTCTGTCCAGCAGTGCGGATTGAGAATGAATTAGACTGAGTCCCCGCCTTAGGAGCTCACAGAGACCCTGGACATGGTGAGTGCTCAGGTGAAAGACCCTAGCAGTGGGAGCATAGAGGCGGGAGTGACTGCCAACTCAGGAAGTCTTTTAGAGGTGGCGTTTGAGCTGATTTTAAAGCCTGAGTAGGTGGACTTTCCCAGGCAGAGAGGGAAACAGGCTGGGCAAAAAGAATGACTGATGTCTTTGAAACTGAGAGGATGCAGGATCTGAAGGAGAAGAGTTGAAGTGATGCCAGAGACCCACAGAGGGCCTTGAATGCCACATTAAGGAGTCTGAACCTTATTCAGTGGGGTTAGGGGTCTTAAAACTAGGTTCCATGAAGCCCCATGTTTCAGGAGGTCTACCCACATGTGAAGCCAATTCATTTTCTTTCTTCCTCAAACTATGTTTTACACAAGTAAAAATAGGTGATAAAACTCAACTTACTCAAATGTGTTGTTGGACATTTTAGCACCTTGGAGACTGCCAACATATTGACTTATGCTACATACAGGTTGATTACCGTTTTAGCAAACCTCAGAATAAAGCATTTCCGGTGATCGGTTTTAATAGAAGAGTATCTTGAGATTGCTGACAATCGTTGCTGAGTCTCCTGAGGGTTGTAGTTTAAAACAGAACAAAACAAAAAAAAGCCTTTTACCTGGGGCTTCCCTGGTGGCGCAGTGGTTAAGAATCCGCCTGCCAATGCAGCGCACATGGGTTCGAGCCCTGGCCCAGGAAGGTCCCACGTGCCACGGAGCAACTAAGCCCGTGCGCAGCAGCTACTGAGCCTGTGCTCTAGAGTCCGCATGCCACAGCTACTGAGCCCACATGCTGCAACTACTGAAGCCTGTGCACCTAGAGCCCATGCTCCACAACAAGAGAAGCCACTGCAATGAGAAGCCCGTGCACTGCAACTAAGAGTAACCCCTGCTCGCCGCCACTAGAGAAAGCCCGCGTGCAGCAATGAAGACCCAATGCAGCCAAAAATAAATAAATAAGATAAATTAAAAAAAACCCAAAACCAAACCTTAAAAAAAAAAGGCTTTTACTGTTTGCAACCACTTATTGGTGTGAATCAGGGCTTTCTCAATGCTGTGCAAAAACCGACAAACTGAAACAGAAACAAACTGACTAGATGATGAAGCTTAAATCCACACTGGTCTCCTGTATTCATTGGTTGACATGATAATAAATATAGCGTGAATATGTAATACATTTGAATTTATGGTATAAATTTATACCAATAAAATATGGTACTATGTGCTTTACATATTGGGGCTCCTTGCAAGAGTTCGTTTGCATAAAATGTCAACCTACTTTTAAAAAATGTATGAAAACCATTATGGAGCTATGGCAGGACTTTTCAGCAAGGGCTTAACTCGGTCCATTTTCATTTTAGAAAGGTCACTCTGAGGCTGTGTTGGTGGATGGATTGGAGAGGGTGTGTCTGGTAGCAGGCAGATCAGTGAGGAGGCTGGTCCCTGCCTGGGGAGGAAGCTGTGGGATGGAAAGGAGGGGGATGGACATTGGGAACTAGGGTGGTGAGTGGAGCACACCAATCTGTTTCCTCCCCAATCACCAAGGAACCTGGGAGCTCAGGCCCAGTCGTCAGTTATGACCTCTCGGTCAGCCCCTGGCCCTCACTGTTCTCTGGGAGGCAAGGAGGCTGGTGGCTTCTTGGTCCCTACTCCTTCCTGCAGAAACCCCTCCCCCCTACAAGCTATTCTGGGGGCTTTGGGCCTCCTGGGCCCCATCAGGGCCTGGCCTAGGCTTATTCTCATCCCCAGGAGCCTGAGTGAAATATTTAACCCGCAAAGGCCTGTAGGAGGCCCTCACCTCATGAGGTCAGAGGACTTCCTCAGTCCAAACCTGTTTTGTTCCTCTCTCCTCCGGCAGCCTTTCTCACTCTAAGTCCTTCTAGAAACAACAGCTTTTGGCTATGTTCCTATCTTGGGCCCAACAGGCAAAATCACTTTGGCCTCAGTGAGAGCTCCTCAGGCAGGCTGGGTGGGGCTGGACTGCCCTCCTTTATCCCTCCATTCCTGTCCCCCAAGCAGGAGTAATCAGCTGGACCCCCCAATCCCCCCCCACTCCAGTGAAAGACAGGGAGAGCTGGCAGCACCTTGGCTCCCTGGAGCCCAGTTCCCAGGCTGAGTTCCTGGTCTGGGGTAGGGGGTCTCTCTGACCCAAGCTTCAGTCTGGCATCTGGACTTCTTTCTGATTTCTGGAGGAACTGTCTCTAGATGCACCTGACGTCACGGGACGGGGTGGCCTCCCTCTGCAGCGAGGTCCAAGGGGGTGTCTTAGTGCTTGGCTTCTCCCCAGCTCCGACCAGCCCCTTTCACTTGTTCCTTCAGCTCCGCCTGGAGCCCAGACAGGCTGCTTCTCTCTCCCAGCTGGCATTCCATATTTCCCACAGCGGCTCATGCCCACTAGGCCCTTAGACTTCTCCTCACTTGTACAGAGTCAGAGCAGGCTGAGCAGGGAAGCAGGGTCCTTGCCCTGGGGCCCTCCATTCTGGGAGTAAAGAGAGCCCTGCCCTGAGAAACCTCGCTCTGAGGGCATGGTGCCCCTCACCAATTCTCCCAGATCTGAAAAGGGAGGGCTGGGGTGTGAGGAGAGTCCCAGGGAAGTGCCTGAAGTAGCAGGGGTTGGTGTCTTCTGCGAGTGATTGAGGAGGGGCATACGGGGGTAGGGTGCTGCTGTGTGGACAGAGGCCAGGCTGGAGGCCAGAGACTTGGGATCTTATCCTGGCTCTTCCTTGACTTTGCTGGGTGACCAAGAGTAATACTCTGCCCCTCTCTGGGCCTATTTCCCCATCTGTAAAAGAAGGAAGTGGAGACTCCTGGGACCAAGGCAGCTGGGATTTTTTTTTTGCAGTGGCCAGAGGTGGGATGGGATGGGGTCTGGGCCGGTCAGCCGGAGGAGACCCAGAACATAGCAGTTTGGCAGGGACTGTGGGACAGAAAGTGACGAGCGAGACCTTGGCTGGCTGCCTGAGCTGGAGCCTCCGGCTTGGGAACCTGCCTGAACAAGCTGGAGGGTAGCTGGCTCCCTGTCCTTGAAGGGGTGTTGGGCCTGGCCCTGGGGCAGTAAGCCCAGGGGGCGAGGCAGTCTCTGCCCTTGCCCTGAAGGCCAACAGGCTTCCTGGGTTTATGAGAGCGGGCCTCCCCACGCCCCCAACCATACCCTTCCCATCCCTGGCCATCCGTCTATCACCCCTTTTCTTTCATTTTTACCTTCCTTCCCTGAAGGCTCACGGTGGCTGAGGGGTTTGGGAGGTACGCAGCCCAAGAACACACAGACACTTGGGGGCGGTTGGCAGCTGGGAGAGTTACTGGGCTGAGCCCCAGAGGACAGGCACCTGTCCTGCCAATGCCTTATACTCACTCTGCTGGGCCCACACACTGTCTTGGTTGGGATAAAAGTCAAATGCAAACTGAGGTCCACCTCCTGAGTTTGGGGACTCTGGTCTTCTCTTCCTACCTTGAGGTTCTAAAGCTTCATTAGCCACTAGCCATTCATGGCCACTTAAATTTAAATTGATTAAACTTAAAATTCAATACAATTAAAGATTCAGTTCCTCTGTCTCACTGACCATATTTCAAGTGGTTCCCTAGCCACATACAGCCACACAGAGAGCACTGGACGTTTCCATTATCACAGAAAGGTCGATTGGACAGTGCTCTTCTAAAGCATGCACAGATCTCTGCCTTGGGGATAGATCATAAGCTCCACGTGGGCAGGGATCACAACTGTGTGATCCCTGCCATGTCCCCAGCACAGTGCCTGTCACATGGTCATCACTCAGTGTTGTCAACTGATTGGGACCCAGGCTTGACTCCAGAGAGGAGAAATGGGGTTGAGTGCGTGACCTGCAGGCTGTAAGGAGCAGGCCAGCATGCAAGGTCCATTTATGAGTCTTGCCCCCAACTTGAGTCCCTGTTTCCTCATCTGTAAAGTGGGAATCATAGTCCCAGGATCGCTCAAGTCACAGAGATGTGGTGGGACTCTCTGGGTGTCTGTGAGTCCCTTGGGGACCCCAGAGATTATGAAGGGTCCAGCTGCTGCCTGTGGTGGCATTCCTCTCTCCCCATTCTGCTGGAGGTGCCAAAGGAGTTCTGAGGCCCTCCCGGGCCCCTGAAAGAAGGCCTTCTGCAGTCTAGCACCTGCCTACTCTTCTGGGCTCAACTACACTCTGCTCCCATGCACAGAGCTCTGTTCACCTTTGTGAAGGCACGGCGTGTGTGCACACCTCCTCATGCCTTCCTTCGCCCCACTCTTCCTTCAAGGCTTTGCTGAAACGCCTCCTGTCCTATGACAACTTGCTCTGAACGCTTGTCATCGAGACTTTGCTTTCACGTGGTTCGAGCACTCATTTCAGTCCCCTTTGCTTCTCTGTTTACCTGTCTTTCTCCCCTACCAGCCTGTGACTCTGAGGGCAGGAGCCAAATCCCTACCAGTATCATTCTCAGGCAGAGCCCAGGTGCTTGGCACAAAGAACTAGTAAGTGTTTGTCAAATTTGCATCAACCGAAACAATATTCTCTGAGCATTTACTATATTTCAAGCAATTTGAACAGAGGAGGGCACTGCACTGGAGTTTCTAGTTCATGTTAAATTTGTCATGGCAAATACTGTCTCCCATTAAACTATATTGCTTAAAAGTTCAGAGACGTTAAATATTTACTGAGCACCTACTCTGTGCTAAGCACAGTTCTGAGCACTACAGATACAATATATGAACAGGATAGTCCTGGTTCCTGTTCCCTGAGAACTCAAGCATGGTTCCTGCTTCTAGAGCTCTGTCTAGAAATAGAAATAGTTAAATAAGTAATTATAATTTAGTGTTTAATTTTACCACAAAGGAAATCCTTAGGAGAGGTAGCAAGCCCATGACTAGGGGTAAGGGAAGGCTTCCTAGAGGTGACTTGTAGTTTGAGACCTGAAGGCTGGATGGAAGTTAGCTGGAAGGGCAGTCAGGGGAGGAGCACATGAGGCAGAGGAAACATCATGTGCGAAGGCTCGGAGAAGGTAGGGGGGAGGTGTGCTTAGACATGAGAAAGTCAGATTGAGCAAAACGGGGTAATGGGAAGGTGACAGTGGAGACAGAGGTAGGGTCTGTCATGAAGGACTTCCTACTCCATACTCAAGGCTGCCGATCCACGTGTGAGAAGAGTGGGTACCACTGAAGGGGGAGGCGGGGCATGATCAGATCTGAATTTGGGAACAGTCCCCTGACAACACTATGGACCACGTATTGGAGGGAATGAGAGATGGTGATGGGCTGGACCATGGTAGGGAAGACAGAAAGAAGTGGATGGATTCTAGTAGAGTTGGCAGGTTTTGGTGACTGATTGATGGAGGGAAGGGGGTGAAGGAAGAGTAAAGACTTGCGGTTGACTTCTGGGCTTCTGGTCTAGGTGATGAGTAGTTGGTGGTGCCAAGCGTTGAGATGAGGAAAGCGGGGAGGGGACCAGGTTTGGGGGTGGAGAGAATGCTGGGAATTCAGCCTTGGGCATGATGAGTTTGAGTGTCTATTAGTCAACTGGGGCAGTTAGATATATGAGTCTGGAGCTCAGGAGAAAGATTTGGGCTGGAGATAGAAGTTCTTATATAATTGTCATGTTTCTAGGCACCGCTTCTTCCTAAGGGCATGTAGCTCCCATTTTATAATGGAAACCATCTGGAGACCGTCTTGAGCATCTGTCATACTTTGACTACATACACTGTATTCATTTTTCTGTCGAGTCCAGATGGCTGGCTAGATTGCAAACTCCCTGAGGGCATGTACCTCCCATCTGATTGTCCTCCTCTGTGGGGAGCCATCAACTCCCTCAGCCCCCAGTTGGGTCCTGCACAGAGGGGGTCCTGATCTAGGTCTGCCCCTGCCCAAGGCTGAGCTCCTTAGGGCAGAGGCTGGACCTGTGTCTTCTCCCTGTCCCTGAGACCTGCCTCAAGAGAATCTGAGAGTCAGCCCCTTCTCCTGCACCCCTGCAGCCCAAGCCTCAGAATGCAGTCACCATTGCTGTGTCTTCCCGAGCCCTGTTCCGCATGGACGAGGAGCAACGGATCTACACGGAGCAGGGTGTGGAGGAGTACGTGCGTTACCAGCTGGAACACGAGAACGAGCCCTTCAGCCCTGGGCCGGCCTTCCCCTTCGTGAAGGTGAGGGGCAGTTCCACCACTGGCCATACGGTGCCTTCGTGGGCGTTAGAGAAAAGCACTCCCATGGGTGTATGAGTAAGGAAAAGGGGTCCCCTCTGGGCAGATGCCACCACACAGGAGCATAGCTTGGCAAGTGGACAGCCATTGTGGGAAGAAGAGGCCACCCCATCCTCTGGACTAATGCAACCCCACTCCGGGTAACCAGCTTAGTGCATGGAACCTAAGCTGGATTTCCACCCCCACTCACCCTTTTAGTGAGGCACCCCTGGGCAATAATCAACACGCACAGTGGCAGAGACTGGGAGGAGATAGCCCGCGTCCACTGGCCTCACCCCGAGCCTGGCCCCGGACCTCCCCTCTCCTCCCCGTGTTGGATCCCAACTCACCCCTCCTCTCCAACCCTGGCTACCAACTCCAGGCATCAGTCCCTGGGGGTCTGAGCCCGAGGGTCCACTCTCCCATCCAGGCTCTGGAGGCTGTGAACAGGCGGCTGCGGGAGCTGTACCCTGAGAGCGAGGACGTCTTCGACATCGTCCTCGTGACCAACAACCACGCTCAAGTGGGCGTCCGTCTCATCAACAGCATCAACCACTATGGTGAGCATGAGGGCTTTGGCCATGACGTGACCCCTACCGGACACCCGGGGTTGGGGTCACACCTCTGCAGGGTGCAGGTAAACCCACTGGAACCTCGAGCTCAGAGGGGTGTTGGTAAACAGGCCCTTTTGTGTAGCCTGCTTGTGTAGCATTGCCATGTTCAGGGTGTAAATATTCCCACCGTGGCTGATGTCCAGCTACCAACAGTTGAACAATCTAACTGGCTCCAAAAGTCCCTGGATGCTTAACGTTCGGCTCTTGCAAGCTGGTACAGGCCGGCTCCAGCACATCGCCGCACAGGCCCCACTCCCTATGTGATTGGGCAGGGCACTTGCTGCCCCTGTGCCTCAGTTTCTCTCTCTGCAAGGGGGCTGACAGGCCTTAAAGTCTGCTGGCGGAGGCAGGTGCAGTCGTCAGAGTGAAGGGACTTTGTGTCTTAGTCCAAACTCTTGTTTGAAAGTAATAGACCCTCCAGAGCCAGACCTTTCAGCTGAAGAAAATGGTGGGGGTTTTTTTTTGTTTTTTTTTGGCTGTGCCGCATGGCATGCGGGATCTTAGTTCCCTGACCAGGGATTGAACCTGTGCCCCCTATGTGGAAGCGTGGAGTCTTAACCACTAGACTGCCAGGGAATTCCCGAAAATGATTTCTTATTAGGTTACAGGTGTGCCTCTTGGAACCACAGGGAAGGAAGTGAAATTGGGCCCACAAAGGCCTGAATCCCAGTACTGGCAATCTCTCCAGGGCTTTTTTTTCTCTCTGGACCACATGAGCCCTTATTTCTGCTTCTCTCAGCAAATCTGTTCCTTTTTTTTTTTTTTCTTTTTTTTCTGTCTCTTTTTCTCTTTCTGCAAACTAGGTTTCTCTGCCTTTCATGAATATGGCCCAAACTGACAAGTTTACAAGTCCTTGTTCCTTGTTTTCAGCAACCAAGAGAGGCCAGTTGGCATTTTTAAATCCTAATTTCAAATTGTTAGGAGCAGGGGTGATGTTCAAAATATTTAACCACCTTGTGACATAAGTACCGAGGAATCAGGACAGACACCACCTATGGTACTGGGGCAGAGTCCTGAAGGACCCCTGCTGTGCCCTTCCACTGTGGACCCTCCTGTGTGAGGGGCTGGGGTGGTGATGGGGTAACTCAGTGGGCTCAGAGCAGCAGCCATGTATCAGCAAGCAAAGTTTTACAACCTGCACAGACATAGGTACTAGGTGACTCTCAGCCCAGGCTGGGAGGGAATCTAATTGGCCCAGCTTGAGTCAGGTGCCTATCCCTATCCAGTCAGCTATGACCAGGTGGGACCACGAGCCACGAGGCTGGGACCTACTTTTGTAGTACTGTGATCCCCTGAAAGGGGATATTACTGTGAGCCAGGCAACTCCTCCAGAGATGTGATCATCCCCATTTCATGGTCGAAGAATGGAGGATCTCAGAGAGGGGGAACGCTGGCCTAAAATCACTCAGAGAATCACTCTGCTGCCCCACCACCACTCAGAGCCAAGATGGCGTCCACTGAACACAGAGGGACCACTCTGAGGCCCTGAGGGTTGACCCAGGCATCACCTGGGTACTCTCTACCTCCTCTCCAGACCTGACCATTGAGAGGTTCTGCATGACAGGCGGGAACAGCCCCATCTGCTACCTCAAGGCCTATCACACCAATCTCTATTTGTCGGCTGATGCAGAAAAAGTGCAGGAAGCCATCGATGAAGGTGAGTGAAACTGGGGAAGGAGAGTGTGGGGAGTCTGCCTAAGGGGGCTCAGAGATGGGAAGCCTTGTCCTAAAGCTCTGAGCTGGCTCTAAGGGTTGCCATGGTAACTGGAAGGGGAGGACCATCCTTACTTCCTATGACCTGTCCTGTAAACTCTGAGAACAAGGCCTCACCTATTTCACTTATTGCCCATCTATTCCACTGTCCCACCTCCTGCCCTACCATGTTAAGGATGCCTTTACTCATCAGCATCACCCAGCCTTCCGTTTCCATGGGAACCTTCCTTACAGCCCAGAAAGCTACTCCCTTCCAAGAATCTTCCAGGTCAGTATGAGTTCTAATTCCTGTGTGACCATGGGCAGCCTCTGTCCTTCTCTGGGCCAGTGAGGAGGGAAATCAGTACCTAGTCCAGCCTGAGCAGTAGAGTCTGGGAAATGGCCAGCATTCCAGCAGCCGGGCCGGCCAGTGCTGAGGTGAGGTTAGAGACACAGCTGCAAGCGCGTGTGTCTTTCAAGGGGCAGTTTTGGGGATGGTATGCATAGTCTCCTGACAAGGTGTGTTTCCCTATTGTTCACGGAAGAAGACAGGCTCACAGGGGAGGAAGAACTGCCCCACTACCCGAGAGGGCTCCTCAGGCTGAAAGCTACTGTTACTTATTTATTTTGACATTTTATTGGAGTATAGTTGATTTACAGTGTTGTGTTAGTTTCAAGTGTACAGGAAAGTGATTCAGTTATACATATATATATTCATTCTTTTTCAGATTCTTTTCTCATATAGGTTATCACAGAATATTGAGTAGATTTCCCTGTGCTCTACAGTAGGTCCTTGTTGGTTATCTATCTTATATATAGTAGCGTGTGTATGTTATCCCAAGCTCCTGATTTATCCTTCCCCCCAGTGTTTCCCCTTTGGTAACCATAAGTTTGTTTATCAACCAACGATATGTTTACTTTCCTCTTCCTCTTTCATGCTGTCTCCTGCCTGGAAGCCTGGCCTCTCTCCCGCTGATGCCTCACTCCCCTGAGATGCTTGGGGTTCCAAGAGACTTTCTTTAACCAGGAAGCGGAAGCCATTTCCCTAGACAGATGTCACTCCCTCTGGTTGGGGTCTTGGCATTGGTCCGTATGTGTGCCTCTATATGTGTATAATTTAAGCCCAGGCTAGGGAGCAGGGGATGGTCAGGAGGCAGGCCTTCCCCAGGTCCAGTGGTTCTGGTTCATCTTGGTTCCAGCACTGGCAAAGCTGAGAAGGTTCCTGGCCTGGTGTCCAGGGCCTGGGCCTACTTATACATCCTCAGGCTAGTGAAGTTGTGGTGAGGCTGGCATTGCTCTTTCCTCCCAAAGCTCTGCCTCTGTCCAGGCCTGCGACCCTAGATTCCCAAAGAGCAGGGCTGACATGGCCTTTGGAGAGGTGAAGAATCAGGGATGGGCTGAGCCCACTGCCTGAGTCTCCAGCCTCCTGGTACCGCTCTTTGCTGTCCAGTGAGTTCTAGTTGGAGCCAGGGTTCCCAACAGGCATACTGGTCCGTCTGGAGAAGCCCAGAGTCTGTGCCACTGTGGCGGCAGACTGAGGGGGTGCCCACACCCACCTCACCACAGACTGCAGCCTAGAATCTCAGCCCCAGACAGAGCTGAGCACCCTTAATTTTATCTTGGTCCAGAGAGGGTGAGGGACTTGCCAGAATCAACAGCAAGAGAGTAACTGAGGCCCAGCCAGGGTCGGGGCTCCTTCCCAGCCCCCCTGTAGATCTACATCAGGGGCCTGTGAGGAGCTCCAGGAAGGACAGTGGTGGCCTGGGGGACCCACCCTTCCATCCAGGACTGATGTTTGTCTGGTCCATACCAGCATGAACTTACTAGATATTAAAGTATTGAAATTCCCCCATGCCGATTGATAAATAGCTCCTGCCCTGAGTCCTCTGAGTGCCCCCTGTTCCCTGGGACACCTCCCGGACCTTCCCTCAAAGCAGCAACTAAAAGGGAAACCCTGGCATGGGCTGGGGCCTTCAGAGTCTTGCTCAGAGCAAAAGCCACTATCCATTCTTACTGACCCCTTTGGAAATATTCTGAATATTAGCCCTCATTAGCCGGCCCCTGAGTCCTAGGTGAGGCAAGCAGGGCAAGGATAGCCTGAGATAGTCCTCTCCTGGCCCCCAGGCAGGTGTCAGGGCCCTATTACCTAGACGAAGGCAGACAATGCTTCCCTTTCTCTGCCCAGGGATCGCAGCCGCCACCATCTTCAGCCCCAGCAGGGATGTGGCTGTCTCCCAGAGTCAGCTGCGGGTGGCCTTCGATGGGGATGCTGTGCTCTTCTCAGATGAGTCGGAACGCATCGTGAAGGCCCACGGGCTGGACAGGTTCTTCGAGCATGAGAAGGTCCACGAGAACAAACCTTTGGCCCAGGTGCTCCACACACTCCCCAGAACCCTTGGGTGGAGCAAGGAAGCTCCCCAGAACCTGTCCTTGGCTGGAACCTCCAGCCCAGAACCAAACCCCAAGCTCGGCCCAGAATCCAGCCAGGTCCCCTCCCTAGGCCTCCAGCCTTCCTCCCTCTCACCTGACCCCTGGGTCCCCTCAGGGAGTTTCTACCTCTTCTTTGAGCTCCCATCTCTCTCACTGCATTCCCATCCCCGCTTTGAAGCCCACATTCTCTCTCTAAGCCACTCTCTGAAGCCCCTACGTCTTCTTTGCAGCTCCGTTATGAGGTCTCCATCCCCATCGCTTCTCGGCCTTTTGGCTAAACTCAAGTGTAGGTCTCTATCCCCTTCCTGAAACCCCCATCCTCCCTCTAAGCTCCCAGCTCCTCTCTGAAGACTCCATCCTCTTTCTGAGGTCTCCATCCCATCTCTAAAGTCCCCATCCCGCTCTGAAGGCCTCATGCTCTCTCTCTGAAGCTGCCATCCTCTCTCTGGAACGCCTGTCCCCTCTGAGAGATTCCCCCACTCCTCTGAGAGGGATCCCATCCTCCCAAGAAGTCCCTGCTTCCCTCACTGAAGGAAAGGAAGAGTTGGGCTGGTGCCCTTCATTGGGGCAAGGAGATCCAGCTAGTGTGGGGTCTGGGCAGCCCATCTGCTTTGGGCCACACCAGCCCTTCACACCTCCTGCCAGCCATCCCTTGGCCAGGGGCTCAGAGACCCTTACTCACCCTTAAACTGCTCAGAGTGTCACTGAGAGCAGAATACGCCCTAGAGCTGGTGGAATTCCTTGGGGTTGGAGCTACTGGCATTCTCCAGCCCTCCAGGGAGCTCCTATCTGTGCTTTTAACAAAAATCTGGGTGCTCAATAACCCCAAATCCTCTCTCTCCAAGAGCTCAGCAGGCTTCAGCTCTGACTCCAGAGTAATCGTTTCGTTTTCTCTCTTGTTGGTTCCCTCTGAAATCCTTGGCAATCCAGAGCGGGACAGTTTTTCCACTAAGTGGTAGGCAGAGCCCCAGGAGACCACTGCTTGCCCCGGGTCACCCAGCAAGTGAGGGGTCTCCAAGATTAGAAACCCACCTTTCCCGATTTCCAGCGGCGTTACAGCTTTCTTCTTCATCATCCTCTGGTTCTTTATTCACACCTCCTCATGAAGCTTCATTGCTCCAGGCACTGTAAAGAGTAAATCCTTTCCCTGACCCTACAGAGCTGGAGCACGACACCCTGAGCCACTCACCTGCCCCAGGGGCAGGGTTGATATCGGGCAGTGACACATGGGTCTGTCTGTCGCAGCTAAAGTCCATTCTGATTGAAGGGTGCCCATGCCATAGTTACTAAATACTCTTAATATCCTCCCTGCTGATGAGCACGAAGGCCACGCTTAATGGAGTTGCTGGACAGACACCCATGTACCTGGTGGGTTGCTATAGAAACAACCCTGGTATGGTTTTTCTGACGCAGACATCCCCAGTCACAGCAGTATGGACACCTAGACTGCCATAGAGACCTACAGCCCAATTGATGCATGCAGTGGCCCGAGCAGGCATAGCAGAACTGAGAGATTTAGAGATCCTGAGAAGCTTTCCCACCCCAAACAGCAAGATCCTAGTGTTATAGGTAGGCGCCCAGCAGCGGAGGGGGCAAATGTTTGGGAGATGGGTGAGCTCACAGTGTTCCTTTGCCTTCTCATAGGGCCCCTTAAAGGGTTTTCTGGAGGCTCTGGGTAGGCTGCAGAAGAAGTTCTACTCCAAGGGCCTGCGGCTGGAGTGTCCAATCCGCACCTACTTGGTGACGGCACGCAGTGCAGCCAGTTCTGGAGCCCGGGCTCTCAAGACCCTGCGCAGCTGGGGCCTGGAGACAGATGAGGCCCTGTTCCTTGCGGGAGCGCCCAAGGGCCCCCTCCTGGAGAAGATCCGCCCACATATCTTCTTTGATGACCAGATGTTCCACGTGGCTGGGGCTCAGGAGATGGGCACAGTGGCCGCTCACGTGCCTTACGGTGTGGCGCAGACACCCCGGCGGACCACACCCACGAAGCAAACCACATCTGCACCATAGCTGAACCACCAGCTTCGCTGACCCACGTTGCTCCAGGCATGGCTCCATGTCGTACACGTCGCCCAATGGACACTTCTAGTTCCTCACCTCTCTGCCCTTCTGCATGTCCGCCCTCATCCCTGTGAGTGAGGTACTTGTAGGAAATTAGGCAGACTGGTCCGGCATTCTCACCAGCTCCCCTTTTGGGCAAACACTGTGCCATGATCCTGGCTCAGAAAGTAAGACTGTGCAGAAAAGCTGGGTTTCAGGGGGAAGTTGATGGGACTAAAGGTGAGAGGGTCAGAGCAGCAGGATGCCTCAAGAGGAGCTTATAAAACTAGCTCAGTGTAGTACAAAGAACACTGCTTTGAGAGAGATGGGATCTGGCTTCTCAACTTTGTCCTGGCATTGTGCACGACTTTAAGTTTGAGGTGACTTTAAGGATGAGGTGACTTCCCCCTGCAGTGCACTGGTGAACTCTCCGTCCTTGCAGGAGCCCCTGCAGCCCCTTTGTCACCACTGCCAGGGGAGAACTCTCACTGCGTGTTGAGTCAGCTTCCCCACCTTTTAGGGGGTTTTCAAACTCTCCTTTAGCTAAAGAAGCTTGGTTTTATAAGATTGCCCTCTTTGAAGGAAGGATTCTGAGCCAGGGCTTTTCCTGATACATATGGTACCTTTGTACAAATTATAGAAGGAGGCTGTCTCTAGAATGAATTGTGAAAAGACAGCCCTTCCTCTGGGCTGACCTAGACCACGCTGGGGCACACAGCTTGGTTAGCAGGATATAGGCTGGATTTTGGCCCCTACCGGCTCCTCAGCCCAGAGGCCTTTGTCAAATGGGCAAGGCACACAGTCATCCACAGCAACCTTCCCTATAATTTTACACGTTTGGAAACCACTGGATGAGATGACCTGTCTACTTCCTGTGATGCCTTAATCTGAGTCATCAAGGGTCAGCTGCCAGGTGCAGGGTGTGTGGAAGGAGGGAGGGAGTGAATTTAACCTGCATGCAGACTCTCATCCGTCCAACAGGGGGCACTGCAGGCCCTCCCTGGGAAGGCGCTTTACTAGGCCTGCTCAGTGCTTCCTTCGCTTTTGCTTTTTAGCCAAAGTTAATTTGTTGCTGCCTCTCAACCCCCTCACCTCAACCCTCACTCCCTCAATGACTGTGTCCTACTCTGCTTGCCAAGCAGCCCTGCTGGGGGGGAGAGGTGGAGAATTGGTGTTCAGTGTTGTGAGCTCAAATGCAAGGGGAGAAACCTTAGGGGCTGAAGTGGGAGGTGGTCCAGGCTGAGCCCAAGCGAAGGCCTGCCTGGAGTGATATAGGAAATGTGGGGAGGTCAGGTCTGATGCAGTGACTGGTTAGAGAGGAAGGAGTTGCAGTGTGCATTAGCAAGATTCTCCAGCTATGGGATTGTGATTGGAGGTAACAAGCTCTTCGTCACTAGGATGCTGTCAAAGGGACTCCAGGATGAGGTGACCTCCCCCTGCGGTGCACTGGTGAACTCTCCATCCTTGCAGGAGCCCCTGCAGCCTCTTTGTCACCACTGCCAGGGAAGAACTCTCACTGCTTGATGAGTCAGCCGCCTCCTTTGCTGACCAGCTTGGCTTTCTCCAGAGAGAGGGTGGGACCTCCAAAGGCTGGTCCCTCAGGAAGACCCAGAAGGGGTGAGGAGACGTCAGTGGTGGGGACTGATTGCCCAGCTTCCCGGGCGAATCCCAGCTGTGAGCAAGCACTTTATGAAGAAAGCCAAAGGTGTCATTGGAGGTGTGTGCAGGGGAGCTGGAACACTTCTGGGGGCAGGAAAAGGGGTGACAGGCCACATGAGGCCTGACCTTTATCCTTTTGAGGACTCAGCCCAGGGTCTGAATGGGCACAGGTTCTGGGCAGTGGAGGGCAGGATCGTAATGTCAGAAAGATAACGCAGGAGGGAGAACAAAGTCAGAAGACTGAGGTGGTTCTGGAAATGAGCAACAGTTTGGGTGAGAAGAGAGTCCTGGGCTGGGCTTGTCCTGTCAGTGCTGGAGCGGCTGAGAGGCTGGCCATGGGGAGGAAGGGCAAGGCTGTGCTGGGTGTCTGGGCACCGCCAGGGGACGGGCAGGTGACGAGGATGTCCTTGCACAGGGTCATGCCATCCACAGCCAGGATCCTTCTGTCCAACAGAGGAGGCCTCAGGGCAGAGGGTCTGGTTTGGAGCTCCTTCCTCTGCCGAAGCTCCCAGCCCAGCCAGAGATACTGTGAGACCTAAGGACAGCCTCCAGCAAACCGAAAGGAAGTGAGAGAAGGAACTCAATCCCAGTCAGTCTTGACCTTGGCCGAACCACACAAAGGCCTGCTTCTCCTTCCTCTGGGGTCAGAATCACCCCTTGGGGGAGCCTCCAGGGCTCACAGAGCCAGCTGGTAGCCATGAGAAGCCTGCAAGGCTGGGCACAGCCGAGGCTCACTTCATGACACTAGGCTGTGTGACCAGGGTGGACACACGCGCTGCGAGGGCAGCACCGGATGTCACCTAATTAAGATGCACCGAGGGATGCTGAGACCGAGAGGTCCTGCCCCCTGGGCCTCACCATACACACCCCTGATTCTTCCAGGTCTCTCAGGAAGCAGGAAAACGTGATGTGGGAAGCAGCAAGATAAGGCACCGTAAAAGCTGTGTATTTCACTGGAGCACTGTTAATAGACTTGGACAGCCCTCAGCGATGAGAGACACTAGGGTCCAAATTCTATTATTGAAACCATAAAAGAGCATTTCAGGCCTGGAAAAAAGCTTTCAGTGTCTGGAATAAAAGGCCAGAAGTCCTGAGGGCAGGCTTAGACAGCTGCCAGACACACCTGATTGTTTCAAGGGATGAGGAGATGTCCTGGGGAGAACATCGCTTATTGTATCAGCAAGCAAATTAAAAAGCCGCGCGAGCACCAAAGCCCCAGGCCCAGCTATGGACTGCAGCACTGGGCCCGAGGAGCCACAGCTCCTGACATGCAGAACCCCTGGAGCCCAAAGCACGGCACCCCAACAGCGCCTGCAGAGCACGTCCCAGGAAATTCTTGCCAGCCAAGTCCCAGACCCAGTGGAAACTGCCACTTAGCAAAACAGAAGCCCTGTTACTACGCACTGAGATTGCCAAGGTCACTGCAAAATAGCCCTCTGTGCTTTCTGAGAGCCCAATCAGAATGATGGGGATGTAGTAGAAGAAGTTGAAACCAGCAAGAAGTGTAAATCCAAGCTGGATCCAGCATTATAAGGATACTCAACTGGTGTGCACCAGTCCAGCTAAACTGGCGGTTAAAATATTGAAATGCCTCCATAACGGTTGTAAATAGCGCTGGCCTGAGCCCCTGACTTCCCCCTCCCCATGGCCTCAGCTGCCCTGGCCCCTTCGTCTTCCCACGATCCAGCAAAAAGGGGCTCTGGGAGTCTGTGCCAGCATGATGGCCAGTGTCCACTCTGTTTGGGGGTCCCCTGGCCATGCTGGCTTAGAGAGATTAAGTAAGTTGCCCAAAGTCACACAGCTGGTAAGTGGCAGTGGGAGGACTCAAGCTCGTGTCTGTCTGATGCTGGGACTCAGGCCCTTAACTCTTTTGCCATACGGCCCATAGGTGCATAGACGTAGCAAGAGAAGCTTCATAGCAATGGCGTTCCCTTGACAGTCTGTTAACATGTTGACCCCCTGCATGTTAAGATACTGTAAGAGGGTACATCTTTGTTGTAGCTTTCTAAATAGCTAGGAGGAATTTAAACTAGGGCCAAACATTTGCAGATATTCTAAAGCACCTCCAGACAACCCCAAGTTCTGTAGAACCCAGTTCTTATTGGGTTAATGCTGGGTTTGGCAAGCAAAGCTCCTTGGTCAAATATAGCCCACCACGTTTTTGCAAAGAAACTTCTATTGGAATACGGTCATGCCCATTTGTTTACATCTGTCTTCAGCTTTCAAACTATAGCAATGGAGTCGAATTGTTTCAACAGAGACCAAGGAGCTGGAAATATTGGGTCAGCCAGAAAGTTCGTTTGGGTTTTTCATTTCCATCCTACGAAAAAACCGAACGAACATTATGGCCGACCCAATATTTCTCTGGCTGTTTGCAGAAAGAGTTTGCTGACCCCTGGGTTAAGGCAAACATCCCTGGCCCGCTCCTCAGTGGGACAGTCCAGCTTACATCCACCTAAGCATTCGGAGGTAGAGGCTGGCTTGTTTGCAGAGGGGGCAGCACAAGACATCTCTGTGCCCACCTGCAGGCATCGTCAGGGATGGCAGGCACTAACTGAGAGCCTTGATGCTAAACCCAGCAGACCCTTGGCATCGGAGGATTGAAGATTTCAAAGTTTGACTATTTTCAAGTGACCCGTGGCCTGTTGTAATTTGGAATATTGATGCACACATTTGATTTTAGTGTGCTCTCCCAAGCTGCTGGGTGAGGGGCAGGGAGCAGGACCCCTGGCTAGGGCTGAGCCCAGCTGGCTGGCCTCTGCTCAGCACGGCTGTGTAGTTCTCAGCTCATCATTGCCTTTGAGGGGCCTCTTGAGAAGTAATAAGTGCTGGTAGATGGATGGGCCTTAGGTAAATATTAATTTGGGGTAAAGTGAAGTGCCCCGTGTTGACTTAAGGACCCAGATCTAACAAGTCATCTATATGCTCTCTGTGGAAGCAAGAACAAGCTCTTCAAGAAGATGGTCCCAGTGAGGACTTTAGCTGGCTCAGAAGTTACTGATCAAGTGAGAGAGAAAACTCCAGTGAAAGTTGGAATGACAGTTTTCTTGTGGTATTAGGGAGTGAGCAACAAACACGCATACCCTTATGATGGAATTGTGAATCAGGAGAAATCTGCCGATGTAGGGAATGGCAAGTGTAGAAGTGGTCCTACCTACCGCCATGGTTGCTGGCACTGTTCCATCTTCTACGCTAAGCCCAGACTTGACCTCAGAATCCTTCTCAATCCAGCATTCCAGGCAGCTGCTACCAGTGGGTTGGAGTTGGCATGAAAGATGAAAAACCTATGTTGCCATCCCTATTGGTGTTGG